TCACGCCGATTACGAGCACCTATAATTCTATCTTCACCAATTCATAATCAAATCATTTTAATTTCTTTGATTATTCAATCAAAATATCAAATTATGTTACATAAATTTAGTAAGTTTCTACAAAAGTTTGCAAAATTCTTTTAGGAAAAAATACGTAATGAAAGAATATATAGAACTTACATGCGCGAAGAGTTATTGATTTAAAAAAAAAAATTACGGACAAGGACAAGAGACCAAAGGAATCTTGAAAGAAAGATAGAACTTAAAATAAGTTACATAAGCTTATTAGAGATCGTTGAAATATATATATATATATTTTTTTAAAAGATGCTTATTAGATATCAAGAAAAAAAGAAGATCAAATCGAAAGTTGGGACAAACAAAAAAGAATTATTAAATTAATCTCTTTTGTTTTTGGAATATTCATCCGAAATGATTATAAGCCTTTTTTGGTTATCCAAAATATTAGTAGGACCTAAATCCCCATAGAGATGGAATCTTGAAACAGCTGCTTTTGTTTTATTTCCCAAGCATTCAAGTTTCATTTTGAAGTGGAAAACTAATATGTAAAACAAATTGAAGTGAGTTACATTTTTTTTCTTTTCCTTGATAATAAATCATTGAAGTTTGTTTTTTCTTTCATATATTTATGAACGGTACATTATGCTTCTGTTTACCTGGAGAATAGAAGTGAATAAACATCAAAATCTTTTTTTCTTCTTTTATTAACATTGATAAATATATATTGATATGATATAGAGACCAATTATGCCACTAGATTAACGGAAAAGAAAACTGATAATCAAGAATTTATTTCAATGGGGTAATCAAATTTACTCAATGAATGACATGTTCACTTTTCTGTTGGAATAATGACCAATTATTCCAAAAGATACATATATATATTCGATATTTTTCTTTTGACAAGAAAGAGACCAAATTAGTTTTTGAAAGATTGATGGGACTTAAAGAAGTCACTAGTATAATCTTTTTAGAGATCACAAAAATGATACTAGAGCAAAATGGAAGAAAGAAAGAAAGAAACAACGGCAAGAGAAAACAAAACAAGAGAAGCCTTTGGTGTTGTCGATGCGGATTTATAATTTGAAGTTTAGAGATTTTTAAAAGAGATCAAGTAAATATTACAATAATAATTAAGTTCACAATCAAATATATATAAAATTTGAGCAAAAATTATTGTGTTCACGTTAACTCGTAACCAACCTTCTTCCTCCGCCTCTGCCTCCTTCTAACATCAGTTCACCAAGGGAAAAAAGAAACTTTCAACGGATATGTATCTCTTCTAGAAGTTTACTTCAATGGGGTTAGGGGTGTACGTGAACCGGATTGGTTTGGTTTTTATCAAAATCAATCCAAACCAACTATATCTGTTTGGATTGGTTCGATTTTGGCGGGTCTTTCAGGTTTTTTATTACTTAAACATTATTTCAATTTCACTTTATTAAATTTTTGATAAGTAAATATATGTTTAGTAAAAATTTAAAAAATTGACAAATATATTATCTATTAATATTCTTACGGGAGAATTTTCTTAGTAACACATGATACTTATTTTTTTAGTCGTCTGACAATAATTTTTTGTTGATGTATACTTTCAAGGTTAACCGAATTTGAATAAAACATAACAATCAATATGATATCTAAATAATAATAACCACTTCAAATTCGAAAAAGATATAAGAATTTAATAGATCTTGACATATGAATATGGAAGAACAAAGAGATTGGCCCATTTCAGTAATACTTGATAAGAAAGTGATCATACAACTCATTATTTAAGGTTAATAAATATGGAGCTACTTCATATTTTATTAAATATTATATCACACTAGAGAATCCCAAATATTTCTAGACATTTTTAAAGAAAAATTCTATATAAAATCTTAAAAGTATATATAAAAATTATAAATTTATATATCGGTTTAGTTCGAATTTTTTAACTCAATACCAAAGCAAATCAAATCAAACCTAATCGGGTTTTTTAATCGGTTTGGTTTGACTTTTCGGTTCGATTTGTACACCCCTAAATGAGGTAGTTACTCAATGAATGGCATCTCCATTTTATGCTGGAATAGTAACAATTTATTCAGGAAAAAGATATTACATTTATTGGCCAAACAGAGACCCGATGAATATTAAGACATTGAAGGATATTAAAGAAGTCACTTGAATTTTGTAGAAATCAGAAAAATGAGACCAAATACTAACGAAATTTAAAAAGATTTAAAAAAAAAACTAAAATACAACAAAACAAAAGAAGCTATGTAGGCTGTCAACAAACATATTTGACCAAACTCGTACAATTATAAAGAGATGATTAAGCAACTTCTGAATTCTCCCCTGCACAAAATCAATTGCCAGTCATTCTACATTAATTTCTCCAATAAATAGTTACAGCTAGATTTGGAAACTCCACATCCCTTCAAAAATATCATATTTCATATGGTTACTTTGTCATGATAGGCTTCCGATGGCCGCTTATCTCACAAGATTAGATATTCTTAATTCTTCTACATATTCTCAATGTCATATGGCCCCTGAAACATTACATCATATTTTTCTAGAATGTCCACCTGGTAGACACCTCTGGACTACGCTTAATATATTCACTATCAATGTCAATTCTCCTCAATGCCATAATTCTACCCTAAACTGGTTTTACCTCTTCATACATCAACAGTTGCTAATCACCCAACATAATATTTCAAATACCACTCTTATACCTTTTGCGTTATGGGAACTATGGCTTATTCGCAATAAAAATACATTAGATCATAAAAATGTTTAAAGATTTCTTCCATCTTTACAAAGGCTGCAGAATTTTATCATCCTACTAATCATAGATCCAAGAGTTATTCTTCAATACCGTTATATGTAAAATGGCACCCTCCAAATATACATTCTTATAAGCTTAACATTGATGGATCTTGTTCACTCAACCAAACCAAGAATGGTATTGGAGGTCTTTTTCGTAATCAACAAGGACATTGGATCATAGGCTTTATAGGAACATCAATACCTAGGACACATATTCAAACTGAACTTTTAGCTTTGCTCATGGGACTGACAATTGCTGTCCAAAAGCAGCTCAAACCTCTCATCATTGAAACAGATGCACAGGCCATTTTAGGTATGTTTAACTCCACTACAATGCAATACACTAATATTATTAACGATTGCAGGTTATTACTACTCCAGCTGGATAGTCCACCTCTCCAAATTATCTACAGGGAGCAAAATTGTGTGGCAGATAGTCTAGCTTCTTTTGAAGCCATGCATGCAAAGACAACCTATCTACTGTTTGAAAGTCCACCACCTTTTGTTTCATCATTATACCAACAAGATCAAAATGGGTTGTTAAGAAGACGGATGATTAAAACTAGGTCTAGTATATGTAATAGTAGTCTTGTAACTAGTATTGTACCTAGTACTTCTAGTAGTTTTTTGGGTAGTTCTACTTTTGCTTCTAGTATTGGTTCCTCTACGGGAGCCTTAGCTACCTCTAGTATTGTAAATCTGATGCCTCTAATGCATCTCCTTAAGTGCCCTCCTGTAAGAGCTTGATTATATATATATTGCTAGTCAACCAAAAAAAATTGCCAGTCATTTATTTATTTATTTATTATCGACAATTATATATATATATATATGCAAAATACATCTGGTAGGCCCCCCGTGGTCTAGGAGTAGAAGAACAAGAAAATCTTATTTGGATTACATGCAATACCAGACATCAAATTTAAAACAATGTTACACCTTCCAAATTTGCACTACCAGATATCAAAAAAATATCGACCTCGAGTTTCTTTTTATTGTGTAACTATTTGGTAGTCGAAATTCATTGGTCGGGTTAATCTTAATATACGCTGATAAGTCTACTAAGGAGGATTAATGCCCCGTTTGTCCATTAATTTTTTTTCTTTTCTTAAAAAAAAAATAAAAATGCGTTTATACATGAATTTTTGCAAGTTTTTTAGCGGGCGTTTGGACATAAGAATTGTAAAATTTAAAAAAAAAAAAAAAGTGAAATTTTTTTCAAGTTAAAATGGTATTTAAAAATTAGAGTTGTGTTTGGACATGAATAAATTTTGGATTGTACTTGAATTTTTGTGAGTGATCTGAGTGAAAATTTTAAAAAAAAATATTTTGGAGTTTTTCAAATTTTCAAAAAAAATCCATAATTTATCTTCAAGTGAAAATTTGAAATTTTATGGCCAAACACTGATTTCGAAAAAGAAGTAAAAAAAAAATTTGAAAAAATATGAAAAAATTCTTATGTCCAAACGGGCTCCTAAAATTTTTCAAAAATGAATTTTTCAAAAATCATTTTTTCGAAATTCTCAGAATTGTTTTCCCCACTCACAAAGCAGCAATATTTTTTCAAGTGAAATGCATGTCCAAACATAATTTCTAATTACAAATACCATTTTTCAACTTAACTCCAAATACTATTTTTTTCAAAAATTACATTTTTTTTATGTCCAAACGCCTAATAAATGTTCCTTATTGAAAGATTTTCATTTTCAAGATTCAAATTTGAAGATAGATCTATTCCAATTATCCCACCACGCCCCTCAAATGTTACGTTAATTTATAATTAAGCTTGTTTCCAATTCAAGAGAAATATATGTTACGGTCTCCGCACAAGAGTTTACAAAGAGACAAATAGTCCTTAAATGAGTTGCCTACTAACCCTATGACAAGCCATACCTGAGATATAATAGGTTTTGGGTGGGGAAGATAATTTTTTGGTAGTACGAATTTTGAGGGTGGGAGAAGGTTAATAATGTCTGATACATTTATTTCAAAATTTAGTATATGCAGGTAAATTTTAAACTTCTCATTTATTTCTTGACTAAATGAAGAAACTATCAAGACATCAACCAACTCCAGCAGTTTCATAAACATGCCCATTGGTCATTAAATCCTTAAACCACTCGACAGGGTAAAACTTCAGGTCCGTAATACCTGACAGAAGATGAAATTGAAGACACTATGCTGGCGTTACGCAAATAAAGCTTCCACATATACTGTCAAATGTACAAAAACAGCAAGGCATAGAAATGATTTCTGATTAACTACTAGCTAGTAGCATTAAGCTATTGACAATTTTTGCAGCAAAAAGGTGTAGAAGACAAACATATTACATTTTCTTCCGCTTGGAGTTCTTTCGACTCTCTATTTTTGTACGAGCAGCTTCAAATTCCTCTTCGCTGGGTTCCGCAGCAGATGGATCCCCACCATATTTGCTAATCAGAGACGAGAACATAGAACTCATCTTACCTCTCCGCTCATTTTGCCGCTGAGAAATAATAGCATACAAGTCCTCTGATTTTTTCTTTGACCTACAACATTTCAAGCATCCACCAATTAGAATATTGCTAATTAGCAATGAATAAGGCTAAGAAAATGACTTACTTCTGCCTCCTTCTCAATGGACTTGTAGGTGGTTTTGTTTTAGACACTTCCTTCGACCATTTTTCATATGCTTTGGTTGATTTTAGCTCCCCTATAAATGTAAAATTGAAGTTGTAAGTCCATTGTCAGCAAAGAATTTTTGGGTGGGGCTTGAGGAATTTGTTCCAACATCATGTAACAACGCTAAAAGATGTAATTATGTAACCGGGAAGCAACAACAAGGTAGCAAAGCAGTTTGCAAAAGAAAAAATGATCAGAACATAGAAAACGTCCATTCCATGGTAGGAAATGTCAGATTGTAACACGAAACAGATCCCTGAAATCCAAATCTATATCCACTAAGTCGGGGATCAAAAATGGTTTTAATGTATTGATAGTGTCATGAACACATAATTTCTCAAAGAAGCTCATCTAACCGAAGCTAAACCGTACCTGCAGCAATTGCCTCGTCAAGAATATCTTTGAAACGGTGTGAATCTAACTTGGGGTCAGAGCAAATCATAGAACAAAAGAGCCTGCACGTTAATGAATTAGACGGCAGCATAGAGATTATGAAGTTAATGGAAATAAGAAGAGTGTACTTGATTCTCAGCTAATACCTATTCATTTTACCCTTATACTTGTTAAACAAATCAATCAAGTCCTTCTTCTCCGACTCAGATCCTCTATAATTTGCTTCAAACTCTTCAATGTCGGCCTCAGTGATCTGCAACAAACATTTATGCAAGAACCATGTTAGAGAACCTCTAACACTCAATTAAAATAGAGTTACATATCCATGTCACTATTACCTTTGGGTGCATAGCTCGAAAAAACTCCTTCAAGTTCTCCACAACATCTCCAGCCAGGTCCTGTCAATTACCAGTTAGCTATGTGCAAACATATTAAAGAGATATCCGCCTGATTTACCCTAAGGGAGTATTCAGCCTCAACCATAGGGTGACATTACAATTTTAGAGACTATGTAAAGTTTTCAAATCTCTCTATGTAGATGAATGACCATAAGATATTAAGATTCAGATAAAATTAGACTTATTTTACATAGAGACACCATACATGCACGCACAAAGAGACATTATGTTTTCCTAACACAAAATGCAAACAAATACCACCATAAAATTAGTGACTCCACCTATGTGAGCTCCGTATAAGTCCTAATTAAGGAGGTTTCGGGTAGGTTGACGACCAGAGTAGAAAAAGTTCAATTATTATGATAAAATGAAACCACAAACAGCTGCAGAATTGATAAAATTCCAATTCCATGTTTTATTCACATGAAGCAAGGGGATATTGTTGAATTACTTCTCTTACGTAAAGGAGGTTTGGGGTAGGTTGACGACCAGAGTAGAAATAATTCAATTATGATGATAAAATGAAATCACATAATTCATAAAAGTCCAATTCCATGTTCTATTCACATGAGGCAAGGGAAAATGTTGAACTACTTCCCTTACAGAGAATCATTTTTCGTCATGTTAATTGGTATTTAAACATATTTACTATCTAGTTTCCTCCTAACTATGAAGGGATTTAAAAATGCTCAGTTGGAGAAGGTGCATGTGCAATAAAACTGCAGTGGGAGCTGTTGTTATTAAATTTAAAACAAACTTCCTTCTGCTTTACATCATAACATGCTAAAAAAAAAAGTAATAGCAACAGTACCAAACAATGCCAACTATAGTCAAAGTTCCAAAACTGTGGTAACAATCTCCAAAAACCAGAGGTCTAATTCAGTGTAACTCACAGCATCATCAACACAGCCAGTCTGATCATAGAGTGCTCGTTTCTCCTCATCACCAAGAACTGATATCACCTTTTGCAGCTGTTGAAATTTCTCCTTAGCTTCCTACAGAAAGAAAATTAAATATTGTCTTTCATGTTGGCTAACGATATAGCAGTAGTGAAGAAAACCAAAACTCAAAATTTGTAAAACTGTTACTTACCTCATCTCCTGGATTCTTATCTGGATGAAGCTGCAGTGCCAACTTGTAATATGCCTTCTTTATCTCCTGCTGAGTTGCTGTTCTTTCAACCCCAAGAATCTATAAAGCAGATGACTTGTTAGTTATCTCAGCTATGCCAAAAATAAAGTAAAGCAAAACTAATACTGACACAGAAAGAAATCATGTGCTTAGTTCATAGAAAGATCTTTGAACCGCAATTTTTATAACAGGTATAAATGCCACATGATAATTATGATACTTATTGTATCATTCTAAATCACTTCAGTACATCACAATATTCAATGAACACGCTCTTTGTACAGGCAGAGTGAGACCAATTTGGCAAACAAATTACGGCAACCATGTCAATATCAATAAAGAGATTCCGCAGAACAATATTCCTGCTCCAGTTTACTATTATCTTTCTTCCTCTATAAAGTAATTGAGTCTTCCTAAAAGTAATCAAGTAAGGGCTTGTTCAGTATGCCGGATTAGGTCTGAATTAGGAGATATGAATGCATTATGGTAGGGACAAATCTTAAAGAGTCGAATTGAGTCATTAGTATACAACGTCAACCAGTTTCACTTTCTCCAACTATCTCCCATGTGATAAAAGGGCCAGTGATGTAGCCAGGATTTACACTAGGGATTCAAAACTGTCAAAGATGGAATTTAAACCTATGACCTAATGCAATTTTTGAGCCCCTTTCCTACTTTACAAGAAATTTCCCCCAAGACAAGGGGGTTCAACAGCTCATATATAACTCAGAAGACGAATTTTTACCCTATTCACACAGTATAAGTTTTCAGCATGGGGAATTTAGTTGGACCCCCTTTCTCCAAGCTAGCTTTGCTACTGATAAGGGCTCTTGTGTGTGGTTGGCCATTACAAATGAATCATTCAACAGGTTAATTTAAACAATGTCCACTTTCAGTTGAGAAAGTTACAGGCTTGTAAGCTCTCAAATAGCGCACCTCAGCTTGTAACTCCAATACCTACCCACTTCATTAGGTTATGGGGTTCAGGATGCAGTTATAAGCCGACAACAATCAAAAGCAAATCCAGAATTTAAACTCTACAAGTAACCTATAAGGTTTTTAGCTTGCACACATCATACCGACCATTTATTGCAATTTTAATGAAATAGTACGCATAAATTTATACTCTATATTGAAAGTTCTAGGTTCAAATGAACTGGGTACCTTAAAGCTAATTCATAGTTCCCTAGTACAAGACTTAGTTGAGCAGCATGGACATTTATCATTTTTCATAAAGAGCATGGACATTTATCAGATCATCACAACTCCTCTTTTCATACCACTAGGAATGCTTGACGTGGAAGTCCAACATAAATTGTTTTTTTTGCTAATCAACATAAATTGTTAAATGAGTTCCATGTAGCCAATGAGTATGAATAATTACATGATTATTTGTTAGCTACATTCAAGTAATTAGTATGTTCCAGAGTGGAATTTTTAACCCAAAGTCTGATCTAATCCGAAATTTTGCATAAAATAAACAAAGGAACTCAACACTCAATGGACTGGCCAAACCTAGGGCACAATTGGCACAAACCCTTATATCAGTATATTAGCGAGAAACACCTCAAAATTCAAAAACACCAAACACAATTATCTCCAATTCCTTAAAGTCAACAGTTAATTACAGAAATATACCCAAAAAATAAGACATACACAAGTCCTCAATTTCTTAAAAAAAAATTAGGGCAAAAATGATCGGTACCTCATATAGGCTCTTGTGATGGGAAGAAGAAGCAGTGGTATGCTCTTGATTGTCCTTCAATTCTTCTTCTTCTTCAGTAACCCTAGCCGTCTTCTTTCTCTTCCCCATAATTCAAACGCTAAGTCTATCGACAAACCAAAATATAGTACAGAAAGAGAAATAGTAAAAGTTAATTAGTGGAAATTTTTTTCGGGATGAGGGGTTTATAAAGACGAGGAATTCCCGCCATATGGTTCCTCAATTTTTTCCAGTTCCCGCCAGTCCAATCACCTTATTAGGGGCGTTTGGCTTAAGGAATACCCACAATAATCCGCACTTAAAATGTGGGATTGCTTTATCTTGCGTCTAGTTAAAAAAAGTTTTATTCCATTTTAAATAATTTTGAAATAATTATATTATAATTACAATATTATTTTATATTATCGTACAACATTCCAAATTAGCTAATTTCGTGATAAATAATTAAATAATAGAATTATTCTTTCTCAAAATTATTCTCAGAAAATTCTTTGAGAAATGTAAGGTTAAAATTAAAAATAAAATTTGTTCAACTTTATGTAGTGTGAAAAACACTTTTCTTCTTTCTCACGGAAGGCTCAGGGACTGAGCTTCAGCTATCGTATCCTCTCTCCAACTATTTGAACGTATGACATGGGGTTTACTCAACGGATACACCCATATCGAAGCTGTGTCACGCGATATTTTTTTGTCTATTAAATATATATATTAATATTGTAAGGCTCTATTTTATAAAGCAGAATTAGGATTCGTCTGGGGCTTGTCCTGGGGCGGAGCACTCGTAAAACGCCTCTGGGCTTATGAGTGAGGCTTAGTTCCGTGAGACTTATGCCTCGGCCGTCGTGACTTACGCCTCGGACACCCAATGCCCAGCATACTGGGCTCGCCTAATAGAACTTTATGTAATTATGTGTAACTTAGTTTGTAAATACTCGAAATTTTTAATAAATCATTGACTATTCAAAATTACTTTTTTCTTAATCATAAATCATTAAGTTGAGAGCATTTTATGTCATAATTAAAATAAAAATTATTTATACGTCGTCCACTAAGACTACTATGATAGTAAATTTGAAATAAATATTTCATTTAAAAGTATTTATTTGTTAACTTTTGTTATGTTTTTATTATATAATAGTCCATAATTTTTTTATAATTATTTTCCTAAATATTATTTTTTCATGTTTACGAGATACAATATTTATTAATTTAATAGCTCAATATTAGCTAGTAACTATTTGCAAATAATTAATTATCATGGTATAGTATGGTGAATTATGTGTCACTTTGTTAACTTGTTGAAACTTAAAAATAAATGATGCTAGAGAATCGTATTTAAATTATGAATTATATTTTTATATAAATTCTTTTTCAAATAGAAAACATATTAAATAAAAAGAGTATTTTATAAAAAAATCAAATTATACTATCGAAATTCTTTCAAGATTCATTACTCCTTAAGAGATACACATAAGATTTCACCTCGAATATATTACTTTTGATGTTTGAGTTGTAACGACGTTGCAGCTAATTTGCATATTATGATATATGTCATACTTTTCGTATTATTCAAGTTGAATTGTAATTTTTAAATATTTTAAATAGATTATTTGTTATAATTTTATGATTTTAATGTAATTTTAATAATTATTTTTTATTTTATAATTTTGGAAGTGTGTGTGGGGAGAGCAGGTTTGAAGTGGTTGATTGGGCTGTTTAATGTTATTTTTAAGGCGAAAAGGTTGTCAGATGAGTGGAGGTAGAGTACGGTGGTTCCATTGTATAAGAACAAAGGTGATATCCAGAGTTGTAACAATTATAGGGGTATCAAATTACTGAGTCATACCATATAAGTGTGGGAGAGGGTGGTTGAAGCGAGGGTGAGGATGATAGTGTCTGTATCCGACAACCAGTTCGGGTTCATGTTGGATCATTCTGCTACAAAAGTTATACACCTTGTTAGGAGGTTGGTGAAACTGTATAGAGAGAGGAAGAAGGATCTGCACATGGTGTTCATTGACCTAGAGAAAGCGTATGACAAGGTTCCTAGAGAAGTTTTCCGGAGATGCTTGGAGGCAAAAGGTGTGTCGGTTCCCTACATTATGGCGATTAAGGACATGTATGATGGGATAAGACTCGGGTTAAGATAGTAGGAGTCGACTCTGAGCATTTTCCGGTTGTAATGGGGTTACATCAAGGTTTTGCGCTCAGTCCGTTCTTATTCACCTTGGTGATGGACACGTTAACACACCATATTCAGGGAGGGTGCCATGGTGAATGCTATTCGCGGATGACATAGTTCTGATTGATGAGTTGCGAGCCGGTATTACCGAGAGACTAGAGGTTTGGAGACAGGCTCTTGAGTCTAAGGGTTTCAAGCTGAGCAACATGAACACAGAATATCTGGAGTGTAAGTTCAGCACTGAGCCGGGGGAAGTGGGCATGGATGTGAGACTTGAATCATAGGTCATCCCAAGTAAAGGCAGCTTCAAGTACCTTGGATCAGTCATCTAGTGGGGAGGGGAGATCGACGAGGATGTCACACACCGTATTGGGGTAGGATGGATAAAGTGGAGGTTAGCATCTGGAGTCTTGTGTGATAAGAGAGTGCCACCGATACTCAAAGATAAGTTCTATAAAGTGGTGGTTAGACCGGCTATGATGTGTGGGGTTGAGTGTTGGCCTGTTAAGAACTCATATATTCAGAAGATGAAAGTAGCAGAAATGAGGATGTTTGAGGTGGATGTGCGGGCACACTAAGATGGATAAGATTAGGAATGATGATATTCAGGAGAAAGTGCATGTGGCTCCCATTGATGACAAGATGCGGGAAGCAAGGCTAAGAAGGTTTGGGCATGTTCATAGGAGAAGCCCAGATGCTCCAGTAAGGAGGCGTGAGCGGCTGGTTGTGGAGGGAACGAGAAGAGGTAGAGGGCGGCCTAAGAAGTACTAGGGAGAGGTAATCAAGCAGGATATGGCGAGGCTTCAGATTTCCGAGGACATGACACTTGATAGGAAGATGTGGAGGTCGGGTATTAGGATTGTAGGTTAGGAAGTAGTTGAGTATTGCCTTACTTCGTGCCATTGTGAGACTAGTCCAGTAGGGTTTTTGTCTAAGATAACTAGTGGTAATATTGTGTCTTACTATTTTGCTTTTCAGTGCAGGACCTATTTAATAGCTATTGCTTTTGCTTTGCATATTTCTTCTGGATTTCATATTATTTCTATTTTACCTATGATTTCCATGGTGATACTAATATTGTCTTCTTTGTCTTTTTATTTTCTTGAGCCGAGGGTCTTTCGGAAATAACCTCTCTACTCCTTTGGGGTAGGGGTGAGGTTTGCGTATACACTACCCTCCTCAGACCCCATTAGTGGGATTTTACTGGGTGATTGTTGTTGTTGTATCTTAAAATTCATGAAATTAGTAAAATTTAAAGATCTGTGGGACTTACGCTCCATGTCTTAGGGCTTACGCCTCGCCTTATCTGTAATGACCCGGTCGGTCGTTTTGAGAATTAACGTCCTGTTTGGAGGCATAAGGTCTTGAGAAGATTCGTATTATGTGTTATGACTTATGTGTGTGGTCGAGTTCAGTTACTTGATGATTCGGAGTCAAATTAGAAGAAGGATTCTAGTTCTGGAAGCTTAAGCGGTAAGAGTTGACCAGAATTTGACTTTTGTGTAAACGGCTTTGGAATGGGTTTTGGATGATTTCAATAACTTCGTATGGTGATTTTAGACTTAGGCATGCATCTGGATTTGGATTTGGAAGTCCGTAGGGTAATTTGAAGCATTTTGGCGAAAGTTGAAAAAGTTGAAGTTTGGAAGGTGGAGAGGTTTGACCAATAATTGACTTTTGTATTATCGGGGTCGGAATGTGAATCCGAAGTTGGAACAGCTCCGCTATGTTATTAGGGACTGTCTTACAAGATTTGACATCATTCTGGGTTGATTTAATAGGTTTCAACTCGAGTTTGGGAAGTTGGAAGATTTAAAAGTTCATAAGTTCGATTAAAGGTGTGATTCGTAGTTCTGACATTTTTTGATGTGATTTGAGATCTCGAGTGGGTCCGTATTAGGGTATGGAAGTTGTTGGTATGCTTGGACGGGGTCCCGAGGGTCTCGGACGTGTTTCAGACGAGTTTCAGTTGTTTTTCATGGTTGTGAACAAGTCTGGTTCTGGTGTTTTCGCACCTGCGACACCTTGGAGCGCAGGTACGGCTCCGCTTTTGCGTGAGCCTGGTCGCTTCTACGGTCATAGTGGCCTGGGAGCTCGCTTGCTTTTGCGGAGGTCGGCACGCAGGTGCGAAGGCCGCTTTTGCGGTCCAGCAATCGCACATGCGAAGCAGTTCGCTTCTGCGCTCACTTTGGCACGTCTGCGAGGTCGCTGGTGACGCTATATTTCTACAGATACAGATCCAGGCCTGACTAGTTAAGTTTGCAGATGCAAACGTTTTCTCGCAAATGCGAGAGTGCGGATGCACTTCTTTGTCCCCAAATGCGAAAGTTCTGGGCAGAATCTTATATATCGAGGGTTTGGCCATTTTCACCATATTTTGAGTTTTAGACCTCGATTTTGGAAGATTTTTCATAGGTTTTTCAGGTCAATCACTGGGGTAAGTGTTCTTCACCTAGATTTTATTATATTCCATGATTCTATCTTTAATTTCATCTTATAATTTGTAGTTTGAGTTGAGGAGAAATGGGAATTTTGAAGAAAACTTTCAAATGTAAAATGGTGATTTGAGGGATGAAATGATATCAGAATTTGATAATTTTATTGAACAATATCAGAATGGGTGTTCAGATTTTATGAAATTTTTCGGGTATCGAGGTGCGGACTCGAGGTCGACTTTTGGGTTGATTTTTAGTTTTTGATAAAGATGAAAGTTTTATTATACGGAATAGTTTCTTATGAGTTTTGTTTATGCTTTGAAGTTATTTTGGCTGGATTTGAGCCGTCCAGAGGTTATTTCACTCGAGAGGTTCATTTTAGAGTGACAGTCTGTCTTCTTCGAGGTAAGTATCTTGCCTAACTTCGTGTGGGGGAACTACCTCTTCGGATTTGAGTCTTCTATGCTAATTGTATCATGTAAAGTTCGTGCACGCGAGGTGACGAGTATGTGCTCAGGTTTATTTGTGGAAAGTTGATCTTTTAGGGCTCTTAGGTCCTCATGTTAACCGAATATGAAGTTATTTTTGTTATAATCAGGTTTCCTATTTACTAGTTTCACCTCTACATACTTTAATTGAAATTAACGACTTCATGACC